TATATATAATATATATATATATAGTGTGTGTGTGTGCGCGCGCGCGTGTGTTTTCAGTGAAATAAAAGCACATTGTTTACCATTCTTGAGGGATGGTGACAACAGGTATGGCCTCTGCAATAGATTTGGCATGTGACAGAAAGTATGAAACAGTCAAAATGACTTAGAGCAAGAAGATAATAGATATGTTGAAAATGCCATGAAAAAAATGCTTTGAAAAAAACTGATTGTTAAGCCTTTACACTCCTCTTTCATTTTCTTAGGATGGTCCAAGCATAGCACTTTTTTGAAAGAATACATTCCAGGACACCAGCTAAATTGTTTACAACAGTCTCTATACCTTACTGACCCTTTGCCTGTATGCAAATGAAATCATGCCTCCATTTTTTCTCAAAGTATTTTGAGTATGTTAAGCATGGGTTATTCTGCCTAAACTTTATTTCTTTCTAAAGCCTCTAGAGTGTATAGTTTGGGGAAAATAAAACTTTCTTACAAAATAAGGCCAATGAATTCCACGTGGTGAACCATTTTCAAATATTTTCCTTGCTTAATTTCAGCAGGACAGATGATTTGTTATAGACCCTAGTATTTTCTTAGTGAAAAAACAAATTCCCAAAGACTAACTTTAATCTAAACGGTAGTCACTGCAGAACGCTAATAGAAGTGTTGCCTTACTGTATATACAATTCTGCTTTAATACAAACCCGTAAGTTTAGCACTGTATTTTTGAAGACTATTTTTCTATCGCTTAGGAAAATTAAAGACTATTTTCTAACTTCCCAGTACTACTGTTTACGTCTTCAAGTGGGGACAGTCATTTCTGCTGCAAGGTCATAATGAGTATTCAAAGTATATATAGTAGATACAGACCCCATTAGAGTGAAATGCCAACCCACTGCCCCCTTAGGAGTGTGGAGTGGATGAAAATTTCAATTAAGTACAATAGAGTACCATTTATCTGATTTTTATTTCCAGGATACCTTAAATAATAGCTGTCACCGACTTAGGTTTTAGGATTGTCTAGAACTAAAATATTTCTCCAGTGAACTTAGGGCTCTACCCACTTATGGTGGAATCTTATGAACCACCATGAAAATGGAGAGTAGTGACTGCTAGCATAGTTTCCAAGACAGAAATTTGGCTTTGTTTTATTTACTTTTCTCCAAGCAATCCCAAATGCAAAAGAATTTTAAGCAAAACCAAAAGTCAGTATCTCTGGAATAAATGCATTTGCAAACACTTGGCAGAAGCTGTCCTCACGTCAAGAATGTCCAGATAAAAGTTCTAGGAAAGCAAGCAGCTGTCCAGTGATAAGAACTGCTTTAAAGGTCAGGGGATGGGAGAATTTGCAAGACAGCTCCAAGGGCAGGCCTCCTGAGGAGACTCAATGCCTTGTTGCTCCATTTTAATAGGAGCATTCATGATGCATCCACTGCACTCTGTCTCTCTCTACTTTTCATCTCACCCACTGGCGAATCAATTCTCTGTCCATCCTCTAACTGGATGTAGAAACTCTGAACTCACTTCTTGCGATTCAAACTTTTCACCCAACAAGCACATGTTGGTGGTAACTGGACTCAGAGATCCCTTGATGGCTGAAAGTAAACATGTAGCCATCACTTTCAGAGCTGCAAGTGCAAACACCTGAAGCATATTTTCCCAGTACATAAGCATCTTGTGAACAACAGAAGCATTTGGGAAAGTTGTCCAGACACATTCAATGCCCTGGATCCTCCATACTGAATGTCTAAGGACCAACTGCACTGGCATCATGTTGGCGCTACTTGGAAACTTGGTTTGCAGCATCTCAAACCTTACAGACTCTGCATTTTATAAAATGCCCGGCTAACTCACCTGCACACTCAAGCTGAAGAAATATTGTTGTCTATGACCATTTCCGTGAAAGGTTATTTTTCCCTCTCTTGGAAAGTGCGGAGCAAGTCTATTTAACTTGAAATGAGCAACACTATATGTAAAGAAAAAGCAAAAACAAAACTACTAGTGATTTAAGATTCACATAATGATGAAAATTATATGAAGTTACATGAGAGAATGACATGCAAAATACACACCACTTCCAAAAGGGCCAACAAATCTAATTCACCTTGAAGACTACTGACAAAGAAAATAAACTTCAAAGCCAGTACAAACTAAACCTTTCCCAACATATTCTATTCTTCTCTAGGAGTTAAATATATGCATTTGTTTACCAATTATGACCACAATATAATTGATAGTACATATGTTATTCATAGTTTGAAATTTAAAAATCTGCTTCTGATATATAATTTTGCATAGATAAAAAATACAGCTGTAAAGACAAGTCACATCCCCACAAAATCAGTTAACGTTCATGAAATAAAATCTAATCTATAGTTCTATTCATTTACTAGAATTTTATGGTCAAATATTTTCTGTTGAAAGATAGCTGCTTGAGCTAAAGAATTAATATGAAGAGTCAAGACACCTAGGTTCTAGTCCTGTTTTGCCTTGGAAAGGCCAGTTACCTATTCTGGATTTCAGTTTTCTCTGATTACATTGGACAGATAATCTGTAAAGCCTTTTTGAAATCCAATCCCCTTGATTCTGTGGCTCACTGAGTAATTTGAACCAATCCCTGGCATCTTAGTTAAATTGTCAGACAGAAATGCAGTCACCTTCCCAGATGTGCTCATCCCTACTTCACTCTTTAAAGTCTCAGCACCTGTTTGTCTTCATATATTGCACATGTATTTCATATTATATAGATACAGTATAAGTCAGATTCTAAGATCATGTGCAAATATGTGTGTGGCGATAAGATGTAGAGCTAAGAAAGACACAGGAAATGAGACACTAGGCTTTAGAAAAATTATCTTTTATGCATCAAGCCATGCTCATTCCTACAGGGAGCCAACAGCCTCAAATCTTTGTTCTGATATTTGGTTGTTGACTGTTTTCCCATCATTGTATCTCATGAATAACCATCACCCATGTAGACTAAAGATGCTTTTGCTCTGAATCACAAAAAATATAGTTTCATAAGCAACTCTCTATGAATTCAAGTTATGAAGTCCATGGAAACTCGATGGATCCAGTAGATGATTGATGGAATTTTAGGATACGAATGATAAAGTGTTCATTGATAGGCTTTTACAAATGCATAGAAGGAAGTTACTATCAGCTGTGTCACTGATTTTTGATAGATGATAGATTCTCTTAAGTGCCTGAGGCGCATTCTGTTAATCAGTTAGAGGTTAATGAATCACTGTGAACTAGTTTGGTGGGAAGCAGCCAAGCTCTTGTTGTATGTGTGAAGTCAAAGCTGGGAGGCTCTTTGCTTGACATGATCCAAGAGAATTGGTGAATCTTCAGTTAATGAGTAACCAAAGGACCTGAGCTCCACAGCAAAGTTTGTCCGGACGGAAACCAAGCTCTTTTTTTTTTCATTTTTTTCTTTTTTTATTCGACTTACCTCTGCTGTCCATCATTTTCGAAAAGACTTAGCCTGCCCTTAGCAGCTTCAATCTAGCATAGACAAGAAAGAAACAGATCCATATATGTTTTACAAAGTGCCTTTCTTTACTTTTTCTTTTTTAAAAGGTTTCACTTTGGAAGAAAAGTGCATTGATTGGAAAGTAAATTTTACCTTAAATGGATTTCTTTTAAATAAATGGAGAGATGGAAAAAAAAAGAAGCCAGAAAGGGGATGACAAAGTGATCTAAAGACTAACCAGCAAACTATGCAGGGATTTTTGTGTATAATTTAATTGTATCATCACAGAACTGAAATTAATAGTGTCAATCTCTTTGCCCAAGTCTGAGTGTGATTGGAGATAAACCTGCCAGCCCATGACTCAAGACTTTCCATTCTGAAACAAAGTGTTGATGCATTCTTGAAGGGCATTGAATTGTATGTCAGGCCTCCAAGAGGACAATATGTACACTTTGAAACTCTGCACATGGATGGAAAAGCAGTAATGACCTTGAATTTCTATCCCCCAACTTACCATGGATGAAAGCCTCATGTGTACTTCATTGAATAAGGTTTCTTTTCTGACTTTTTGGCTCAAGCTTGATATTGACGCTGTTAGGAGAGTCACAGAGCCCTCTATGTCTAGTTCTATGTCACAGCACTGCTACTAAATAGGTTTCGAGATGCTGATCATTTATTTTAATTCTGGCCACTGGTTTCCTCTCTTTAAATAAGTAGGTTGATGCCCTCAAAAAAAAAGGGGGGGGTGTTTCTAAGATTTCTTCTAGATCTGTCTTTGAGTTAATTCTCATGAGTCAAATAAAGTCTAAGACTGCAAGTGAAAAGCCCAGATGCCACAGCCAACATGCCCTTGACTTAGGCAGTGAATGCCTGAGAAAGTGTGTAGAAATGCTTAACAGAAAACCGATATCTGTTTCTCCAAGTTAGGTAAACCAGAACCTTTGTTCTGCTTCCTTCTAGTTCTGCATACTTAAAGCATTTTCTGTCCCCCTTTCCAGGATCTGTTATTCTCCCTAAAGTTTAATTGTGTGAACTAGTAAACTTGGGGTCTACAGGAACAAAATTTCCCATAAGCAATGATTTTGGCTGTGTATAAGATGAACCAATTGCTGAATCTCCACACAGACAAACCCAAATTAAGGTCATAAGTAATACTCCACTCAGATATGTACTTGCTGTAAGAATCAAGCTGGTAACTCATTGTCTAATGAATCTAAGTTATATTGATGAGTAGGTATTGACTGTCTTAAAGAGAAACTCCAAAATATAGATTGATTGCTTCAGAGCTTATGATCTAACAAGAAAATCTACTTATAATTACAATTCTTTCCGATGATTAATAGACATCATCCATGAATCACATGGGAATTTTCTCCTCAGTCTTTTATTTTCCAAGAAGGTAACTTTGAGTTTGAGCTCTTCATGGTATCAGT